CCCCCCCCCCCCACCCCCTGCCACCCCAGCCCTGGGCTCCCCCCCCCAAAACGTGACCTCCTCGTTCACCACAGCAATCCCCGTTTACACTTGCAGTGGGGATCAAACTGTTTCTCCTATTTTTATTTCACTTTAGTATAAATCTTGCCCCCCCCATCCCCCGCAACCCCATCTTTAGTGCTCCAAATGCACATGGAAGGCATAGGGACTAACCCTCAAACCTTGTACCCGGAAAGGGATGGGGATCTAGTAAAGAGGGTTCAGGCAGAGGAGTGGGGGTGGGGGTGCTTGGGGGCTCTACACTGGCAGAGAAGCGGGGTGTGATGTACTTGTGGAGGAGGAGGAGAGGGGGGTATCAGGAGGGTTGTGGGAGAAGAGGTGCAGGGGAGGGGAAGGTGCGGGAGGAGAGGGATGCGGGAGGGTACGGGGGAGAGGTGCAGGTGAAGCAAGAGTACAAGGGGAAAGGGTGCGGCGAAGGAGTGATGGGGGGAGGTACAGTGGAGGGGCTGCGAGCGGGATGAGGGGTGCAAGGGCTGAGAGGGGCAGGCACTGACAATTGCTTCCCCAGCCCCATGCAGGCAGAGCTGAGAGGACGGACACTGACCCCCAGGTGCCCGAGCCGCGGGGGTCCCCCGGCAGGGCAGTATCCCCCGCTGCCCCGGTTGGAGCCGGGCTCTGCCACTCCCTGCCCCTGGCGCTGTGGGTGCCCGGCGCAAGCAGCGCGGGGCTGAGGTGGGGGAGGTGCACGGCGGGCTGGATCCGGGGGCAGGAGGGGGCAGCTCCCTGGCAGCTTGGGCTGCCCAGCCACTCGCCCTATCAGCGCGCGAGCCAGGATCCGCGCCCCCTGCCCAGCCCGGCGGCACCCTGCACAGGCCACTCAGGCGGGGAAACGCCGCGCCACCCTGGGGAGACTCAGAACAGCAGCGGTGGCGGCAGCGGAGGCGGCAGCAGGACCCCTCCTCCCTCCCTGCATCCCGGGCCCTGCTTCCCTCCCTCCCCCAGCTCCTCAAACACTCCGGGAGCCCCTCTCGCCGCCGCAGCCTGGGCTCGGCTCCAGGGGATGATGCTCTGGCTCTCCAGCGGCAGGGCTCTGGCCAGGGCCGGCTCCTGGCTTTTTCCCGCCCCAAGCAAAAAAAAAGTAAAAAAAATAAAAAGGGGGCAGGAGTGCCGCCCCTTGAAAAGTGCTGTCCCAAGCACATGCTTGGAGCACTGGTGCCTAGAGCCGGCCCTGCTCTTTATAACAACCTTTTACATATTTGAAGATGATTATGTCCCTCCTCGGCTTTCAGCAACACCATATAAAATAGTTTGCTAATACCACAAAAGTCTGAACCATTGTAAATGAAACAAAAATGAATCTCTGAGGTCCAAGTGCAAATCTCAAGAAAAATCTGTGGATTCAGAGTTCACAGATTCTGAACTGGACTCCATTTTTCACTAACAATTTGTGAGCACAAATAATTACAGATGCAATCTTGCACCCACCGTTATCAGTGAGAGCAATTACAATTACTTTCATGTATAATTATCTGTTTTATTAATGCAATCAGGTATTTCAGCATACAAATGATCTTAATGGCACCAAAAATAACTGAGGGTAGTAAACTGGTCAGCAATAATTTGCATCCTAAAATGCAAGTGCAAAAATGACATTTTGGTTCAAGCTACTCTGAATATGTGGCCCTAAATTAACATGATTTGGGTTCACAAGGAAAATCAAGGATTACAGAAGAGACATCTTCTCAAAACACTGAATCTCCATCCTGCTGCTAGGAAAAGTTGTTTTTCATTTAATTGCATGAAGGGCAATACTGAAAAGGACAGAATGATCCCTTGAGAAGAAGAAACCGGAAGAGTTATGGAAACAAGACGCAGGGCACTGAATGAAGGTCACTGAACTGCAAGACAAGGAATGGGCAGAAATAGAGATGTGTATTCAGGAGAGGTGACACATTTTAGGGATTGTCTTTTTGTTCTGTGTTTGTACAGTCCTGGTATAATAGAGTTCTGATCCATAACTTGGGCTTCTTATAATGGATTCACTATAAGGAAAGCACAGGGGTACTTTTTATTGTTAAATTTCAATTTTCCAACCTGTTACTCTCCTGCCCTTCAGTTTTAATCAATTCTCTCCAAAATACAGCCTAAGTAGCTGGGCTAGGCACCAGGATGAGGAATGGATCTGAAGAGAGAAGGAAAGTGTTTGCTACTGCAGCTCTAAGGAATATGGTACTTATCCAACTTTGGGATGAAATGTAAAATCAAGGTCTGGACTTTTTGTGGTCAATTAAAGAGTCCATAGCATATTTCACAAAAGTTATGGTCTTAGTCCCTTGTTCTGGCCATAATCCAGCTCTGGTAATTACATTCAATCTATTAAATTTGCCCTGCAATATCAGTTGAATGCATTGCATTCTTCATTTTCTGTCCTAAGCTGTTGTGTGGACAGTTAGACAGTTGCAATTATCCACCCCAGAGGTGGCTCTTTTAAGTTGTGGGTAACATGATCTCCATTTATAGTTTGCATATCACAGCACTTCTCTTTAAAAATATAATATTTATCCAATTACCACACAGTGATATCAGAGATACCTGTAGCACACCAAAATTTGGAATAGGAAATAACCCTAGAATCCCCCCACTGTGTGGTGACTGTTGATACAAACTGACTTTCTGAAGGTGAGCACTGTATATCATTTTAAGTTGGCATGGTGTTAAGGTTCCCTGCAGGATGAGAAATGCTACACAAATGTAAGTTACGTCATCATT